AAAAAAAAAAAAAAAAAAGAGAAAAAAGGATACTCTGGTTTCTCTTCAGATCGCATATATCTTTTGCCTTTTACTAAAGATTTCCATGGAGAGGAACAATTCTGAATTTTTACCCAATTTTTTGAGGCCCTGCTCTTGCTGGGGCTACAATATTACAGTGTTAAAAGTAGACGTTTTGAAGGTACGTATCTTGTACCTACGAAATTCTACCATATTACTTTCTGTATTAGAGTCCATGTAGTTTCTTTCTCTTTTAGAAATTTTCCCTAGGGGAACCAGCAGTTAACGTAATGGCTATGTCGCTGGACTCCCATGTAGTCGACCGCGGTTCGCGTCCCAGACCCGGTGGCTTAAAACTCACACCGGGCGCGTGTGCGTGCGTGCCCAAGATCCCAAGAGGAGAATGGAGGAGAAGGGATTGCGGCGTGACCATCCCCCCTGGGGAGTGATTTCTCGCTTTCTGTCTCTATGTCTCTGTCTGTCTGGTGAGTGCACGCGCCCTATAGCAAAAACCTCTCCAAAAAAAAGAGAAAAAAGGAAAGAAACGATGGTGCACGTCTGAGCTCTGAGAGGCTGTGCTGAGGCAGGCAGACCCACCGCTGAGGACGCTGCAGAGCCGAGTGAGAGGAGAGGCCGCGCCTCAGCAAAGCGCCCAGGTCCACCAGCCTATGGGCTTGTGCCAGCAGCCCATGGTCACTAGCGATGTTCTGGGACTTGTGACCGTGGGGCCTGTGTGTGTCTAGGCTCTCAGTGGGCTGGACGAACAGACATGGCTTTGTATATGGCTGCTGCACCTCATGTCACCTTTCATTTGAGACCCAGTTGCCAGATCCCTCAGCCACCCAGTGAGTACCATCCAGTCCCTCCGTCCCTCCTTCAGGCCTCCCTTCTCTCACCTTAAAGGGTTTCATTTTCAGTGTATTGATTTAGCTCTTCCCGTGGTGGGACGTAATGGGAAAGGGGGTGTTTGGAGTGGCAGTAGCCCAAGGGCGATCGGAGGGAGTGGTGGGGCTGGGCACCTGTGTTCTTTCCCTTCGTTTTCAGGGGACCGGTCAGTGGCATTCTTGATGGCTGGTGGCTGGAGGTGGGGATGAAGAGGCAGCTCCCAGCTCCAGGCTCCAGGCTCCAGGCTCACGGGCCTGGTCCCAGGGTTACAGCACACTGGGGCAGGGGCCGGGGCGGGCAGTAGTTTGGGTTCTCAGCCTCCATCTCTATTTCTCAGACTGAGGAAGAAAACAAAAAAAAGCCGACTGCCCACCCCCTCTTTGTTTGTCTTGTCTAATTTAACTTACGTTATTTATCAAAAAGACAGGTTATTTGGAAAACCAGATGGACCCAGGCAAAAATCATCTGGGTTTTCCAAACGTGAAAAATTAGGTTCTGGGGGCCCAGGAGGGAAGGCGTGTGGGGGGAGGTTGGGCGGGAGCGAGGCGTGTTGAGTGAATCTCCGTAGTCGGGCCCAGAAATTGCTCCGTGACATCCCAGCAGCGCCCACCCCACCCCCCTTTCCTGCAAGTCCTTTATGTCTGGGATCTAAATGAGAAAACTGAAGTCTTCGTGCTGGTGTTGGGGTATGTGGCAAGTTTTAATTGGCTGAGAATTTTAATTGCTGGAGAACAGCAGCCCCTTCCTCCGCCTCCCGGCCCTCGCCCCCTTCCACAGAGTAGGCGCGGTAGCTCGCGAGGAGTACTGGGTACCTGCACCTTTCCGGGGCAGAAACACCCCCTACCTCTTGTCTCACGTGCTACTGTCCCAAAGTGACCGTGGCAGATCTGGGAGTTAGGCACTAGGGACGAACTCCTGTCTTTCGATGGTTGGGTGGCCAAAGATCACGGGGAATTACGGGTCGTCTATTGACTATCCAGGAAGGAGCTGGCCCAGCAGCCCTCTGGGTTACAGTGGCTTGCTCTGTGGCTGTAACTGGGGACTTACTTATTTTTATTTTGCCTACAGGATGCATGTGCTTGCCGGAGAGAGGGGGAGAGAACGCCCCCAGCCCCAGTCACGTCACCGTCCTTCTCCGTCTCTCAGGAGTTTGCATTCGCACCTGACATGCTTCTCAGGCTGCCAGGTCTGGGACTCAAACCCTGGGCTCGGCCATGTGGGAGCCGGCTGCCTGAACAACCAGGCCATGGAGCCTGCCCCACCCAGGGGGGTTCCCGGCTGTTGCTTCTGGGCAGTACCGTCATTAGGAAGTTGGCGAGGAGGCTGTGGAAGAGCAGCTCCTGGCCAACAAAGGGATGTTGGGGGGAAGCAGAGGCAGCCGCGCAATCCTGTTCACACGCGTGTGCACACACTCAATACAGCCAAGGCCCTCTCCGGCCTGAAGGGTCTTTGGCAACGGCAACAGCACTTGTCCCATTGTGAGTGTCATTTCTCAAAGTGTCATTGGACTGTGAAAGCCACTTAATAACTTGATCTCATCTGAATAATCTGAGCTAATACTGCTCCACAGTTGTGAGGATTAAATAAAAAAAAACTGTCGAGTGTCTGCCTCCAGGCCTGGCACGTACATACGGCGCTTCCATAATGCTCGCTGAGTGAATGACTCCTCGAATCTGAGCGTCACCGCTTCCGACGTCTCCACGGATCAGCGGGTAACACCCGAATAACTGAAGGCTGTGGCCTCTCCCGCTGAGCCAGCTTGGCAGGGTCCAAACCTGCTGTGTGTTTCACACGTTTGAGGAGGAGCTGTGGTGTGTGGGGTACCCTGGGATGCACCCTCCCAGCCCCTTCCCGGGAGCCCTCGCTGCCCCAGCCGCTGGAGGCCCTGTCTGCAGACCACTCTCCACTGCCCACACCTTTGGGAGGTGCCTCAGCTGCAGACAGCACCTTTCCAGCACAGCCCACATCAGTGAGGACGGGCATCCACAGGCCTGCCCGTCCAGCTCCATCTGCAGGGCCGTTTCAGAGCTCCCTGTGGGGCTGGCCGAGGCTGCCACAGTTCCTTCCCCCGTGCTCCCCACTTCTCTTCCCTCCGTCCTCAGAGGGTGGCCCCAAGGGCACTTATTAATAAATATCCTGCACTGGGGCCGGCAGGTGGCATGGTGGTGAAGGGCACTGGACTCCCACGAGGCTGACTGTGGTTTGAGTCCTGGACCTGGCGGCTTGTTTTCTCACTTTCTCTGTCCCTCTCTGGCCAAATTAAAATACATAAGTAAATAAATAAAGTTAAATAATTATTTAAAACAAATAAATAAAGTTAAATATATATATATATCCTGCATGGTAAACTCGGAGCCAACTTTCTGCAAAATGCAGCATGTGCGTGTGTTGGTCTTGAGCACCAGGCCAAGGCTTCAGGACAGGAGAGCAGCCTCCTTCAGTGTGTTTCCAGCGTTGGAGTTGGCGCCGTCTCTCTATGTCCACCAGAGGGCAGCAGCACCGCAGAAACCTGCCCTCCTGGGACTCCCGAGTGGCCTTGAGGCCTTCCTGGCCCCTCTCCCGAGCTCACACCCGGGGACCCAGCCTCCCTGTGAGTGTCTGCCCTCCTGTCTAACCGAAGCAAAGTTTCGGAAACTGTAGGTTTCGGTTCTGTCAGCTGGAACTCCCCCACTGCCGGCCCGAAGGCCACTCGGTCTGCACAGAGCCCCTTCCCCGCTGCACCACCTCCCTGCCCGGATCTCCCACCCCTCACACTTACCTCCCACCATACATTTGTTTTCTGTGTGACAGGGTAATTAGGAGCTTGGGGCCAGCAGGCCCGGGGGCCAGTCTGAGGATGGCCGCTTCATTCCGGCTCTCCCTGTTCTGCTACCAGTATTGACTTTCAGTTTTATTTATTATGACGACTTTTTTGTGTGCGTGACATGAGGTATGGACGCGAGAGGGCCAGAGCCAATGTACTCTCATCAGTCCACTTCCCGAGGCCCTCCCGCCTGCACTGCTTCCATCTGCTGGTTCTGGCATCTTGCAGGCCGTGGGCCTGTCCCTCACCCCAGAGTTTCCTCGGAGTCTTCTGGGAATGGGATCCAGCGGTGCCTAGGGAAGGGCTGGGAGAGCGGGGACAGTACCACCTGCCTCTCAGCGGCCACCTGTCCAGCGAGCCTGGACCGCGCTCCCATGGCCGGCCAGCTCACTCTGGCCAAGCTCCCACCCCTGCCTGCCCTGCCCTCGGGGAGGTCCTGGGCCGGCCCTGCTACATGCCTCCTTTTTTCTTTTTAAAGTTTTTGCTGTAGAGTGTGTGCCCGACAGAGAGAGGCGGAGAAAGCAAGAAAAACCCCGGGGAGTGGGTGGGGGGATGGCTGCTGCGCAATCCCTTCTCCTCTGGGGGCTTTGGGCACTCAGGCCCGTGTGCCGGGCATAATTTTCAAGCCACTGGGTTTGGGACTTGAACCGTGGCTGAGCAGGTGGGAGTCCAGGCCTTAACCACCACGCTGCGGGCTGCCTGACCCTACCCCCTTTTTTTAGTCAGCATTAGTTTTTGTGGCTGTGAAATTGAGACTGAGATTCCAGGCAACCAATTCAAAAAATGCTGCCTGCCTGCCCTTCGGGCCACTAACGTCCCCAGAACTACTCTGCTGCCGGGACTTGAACCGTGGCTGAGCAGGTGGGAGTCCAGGCCTTAACCACCACGCTGCGGGCTGCCTGACCCTACCCCCTTTTTTTAGTCAGCATTAGTTTTTGTGGCTGTGAAATTGAGACTGAGATTCCAGGCAACCAATTCAAAAAATGCTGCCTGCCTGCCCTTCGGGCCACTAACGTCCCCAGAACTACTCTGCTGCCTCCCAGGGAAGAGGAGGGGCGAGCTCTGCGCAAGTCACGAGCGGGCGGGCGCGCGGAGCCGGCGGTGGCCGTGGGAAGCCCTGAGCCAGGGCGGTCTGTGCGGCCACGTCCCGCGGCCTGCCTCTCGGGGCGCGCGGCGGAAGAGAGAAGGCCTTTGTCCGGGGCGGGATGCAGCTGCCGGCCCCGCCCCTCGGCACATGCCGGGCCGGCTTCCCCATTGAGGGCCGCTGGAGCGGAGCGCTTGATGCCCCAGCTCCGCAAATCCTCCAGGCCGCCCCTCCGCACGAGCACCAGCACGAGCCGCCGGCGCCCGGAATGGGGTGGGTGGGGAGAGGTGGGCGGCCCGGGGTGGGGTGGGGAGCGCGTGCGGATTACGGAGCCGAGCAGCTGCTAGGAGGCGGCTGGAGCGGGCACCCCCTGC